AAGAACTGGATCCTCCTCGACAGCCAAGCCACTTGCAACTGCGTGTGTAACCCAAAGCTGCTCAAGAACATCAGGAAGCACCCACTCGGGGAACGAATTCGGATCCACTGCAATGCTGGGAATGTCCTCGTCGATAGAATCGGTGACTTGCCTGGTTTTGGGCCAGTGTGGTATCAAGAAGGAGGAATAGCCAACGTGTTGTCACTGGGACTGGTCTCAGACAGCCATCRAGTGACACTAGACACATCCATCGCACAGTCGTTCTTTGTGCACAAACACGATGGAACCACAAGGCGTTTCGACCGTACCCCATGTGGGTTATATGCCTGTGACCTTACAGAACAGAGCGGAGTACTTCTTACCGTAACCACAGTAAAGGGCCAAAAGGAGTTCTACTCAGACCTGGACATAAGACGAGCCAAAACTGCCAGGAAGCTACAGGAGACCCTTGGGTTCCCCAGTCAAAGAGACTTCCTCCATATGATAGACCATAACCTGATCCTCAATTGCCCAGTGACGCGACGAGACGTTGTCATAGCTGAGGATATATATGGAGTTAACACAAACATAGTAAAAGGAAAAACAGTGAGAAGGAAAGCTCCACATGTGCGAGAAGACATTGACACAGTCCCCACCGAGATTCTTAAGAACTATCGGGAAGTAACCCTAGGGATCGATGTGTATACAGTCAACGGAATCAAGTTCCTTCGATCCATATCCAGACACATTCAYTTCAGAACCAGTAGAGCAATTRCGAATGCGCGAAGTGGAACCCTGCTGTCGTGCATCAAGTCGATTGTCGGACTGTATGCGGCGAGAGGATTTGTTGTTACACAAATCTATGGGGACAACGAGTTTAACTGCCTCAAGGATCCCATGCTTACCTGGGATCCCCCCATCGCGTTTCACGGGGCAGCTCCAGACGCACATGAGCCATTTATTGAGCGGGACAACCGCACCAGCAAGGAGCGGGTACGGTGTATGTTTGCGTCGGTGCCGTTTAAGCGAATGCCACCGCGTATGATTATTGAGCTGGTAAACGGGGTAGATTTCTGGCTGAATCACTGGTRCAACTCCAGTGGGGTATCTGCAACCATATCTCCCAGACAGCTACTCACTGGCCSTAAACTGGACGCGCAGCGGCACTGCCGTTTCCAGTTTGGGGACTATGTGCTGGGCCATGAAGAGGACGGAGACAACTCCATGGATCCAAGAGCACGGGACGCCATATATTTACGACCCACTGGCRACGCACAGGGAGCCATGTATCTTTTCGATCTAAAGACTGCTCGCCGGATTCGGCGCAAGACCGCTACACTCGCTCACATGACGGACACCATTATCAACAGGGTCGAGGAAATCGCCAGAGAACAAGGATCCGAGCCAGGAATTACATTCGGGGACTCGACTGGACGCGTTACAATACTCGATCTAGACACGACTGACGATGGCGAACTGGACGATAATGCATCAGACAAGTCATACGTACCACCACAGGACGACTCCTCCATCGGTTCCAATTTGTCAGAAGTGGACTACGATGAGGAAGATGAGCTATCGACCGCATCACAGGACCATGGTGATGATGCAGCCCGCAGGGATGATAGTGATACTAATGAGACTGAGCTGGATGATACTGGAGACCGCTACAGTGCTGATACTGAAGAAAACAGTAGCACGGTGATTACGAGTGAAACTGAGCAACGTGGAAACACCGTAGGCGCAGTAGATAACACAAGAGAAGAGCCACCTGACGCGCACAATCCCGCGGAGGAATATGTGCCCGGCGACCACAATGTGGAGGAAAACGTCACGTACGACCATACTGAAGATCCAGTCCCAGATCCAGCTAATGGCCCCAACGCACACGATTCAGCATTGGGACCRACTGGCGCGAACTTGGATCGTGATAACGATGACAGTACTGGTGGTACTGATAACAGTACTGGTGGTACTGATCACAACACTAACAACTACCGTAACGAAAGAAGCGAACATGATGCAAGCCCTAACCATGGTGAAGAGGGCCCAGAACAGGGCGATGCAAGCACTAACGATGACGAGGCCCCCAGCCAGGTGAGTACCCGAGAGCTGCGGCCACGCGTATCGAGAACACACAACAAATTCGGTGCGAAAGATGGTTTTGAGGCCACTGTGCACCACCGAGCAATGGCGACCAGTCACCACCGGTGCTTCTTCACTGCAGGCTTTAGAGCTGCGATCAGTGAATTAGAACAACAGAATGAACAGTATATGTTTATCGCGACAGCCATAGCCAACTATAATAACATAGACGCATCTTTAGTCACCAGGCAATACGGGGTCAAGGCAGGCCTGAAGATATTCGGGACACTCGGCGTGGAGGCCGTGCTTACGGAACTAAAGCAGCTCCATGATCGAGAGGTGGTCAGTCCAGTCCACATTCGTGATATGTCTGAAGAGGAGATCCRGAAGGCACTACCGTACCTAATGTTCCTAAAGCGAAAGCGTTGCGGAAAGATTAAGGGCAGAGGATGTGCCGATGGAAGGTCACAGCGGGAATACATATCCAAAGAAGACTCGTACTCCCCAACAGTGTCCTTGCATGCCCTCATGCTCTCATGCCTGATAGACGCGATTGAGCAAAGGGACGTGGCCACGGCAGATATTCCAGGAGCTTTCCTGCAAACTCCAATGCCTGAGGGAGAGGTTGTCCACATCAGATTTGATGGACCAATGGTGGAAATACTGGCCAGACTCAATAGAAAACTRTACACACCATGCGTTCTAACAACCAAAAACGGTAGACAGCTGCTCTACGCGAGAGCAGATAAGGCAATTTACGGAACACTAAGAGCCGCTCTCCTGTTCTACCAAAAGCTATCCGGTAAGCTCATGGAGTGGGGATTTGAACTAAACCCATACGATGCCTGTACTGCAAATAAGATGATAGGAAGCCACCAATGCACAATCGTATGGCATGTGGATGATCTAAAGATCTCCCACAAGGATCCAGGAGTGGTAACGACAGTTCTCAACATGCTCGATGCCGAGTTTGGAAAGGAATCACCGCTAACTATAACAAGAGGGAAGGTGCACGAGTATGTGGGAATGACRATTGACTATTCTGAAAGAAAGAAGGTCAAACTCAGCATGTTTGATTATCTGGAGGGAATCCTATCGGAGCTGCCAGAGCATCTAACTGACGAGCGAGTGACCCCAACACCGGCTGGAAGCCATTTGTTTCAGGCAAATGAGGCAGGAGCTAAGCTGAATGATGAAGACTCGGATCTATTCCACCACTTCACCGCACAGCTCCTTTTCGCAAGCAAGAGAGCCAGGCCTGATCTCCAAACTGCAGTATCCTTCCTCTGCACTCGTGTTGCTTCACCGGACACGGATGACTGGAAGAAGCTGAAGCGTGTCATGTCCTATCTCCGCAACACCATATTCCTCCCTTTAGTCCTTGGATGGGACAGTACAGGAAATGCCAACTGGTATGTGGATGCATCATTTGCAGTGCATACTGATATGAAGAGCCATACCGGGGCTGTGTTAACATTTGGCCAAGGCGCTGTGCTGGCAATGTCAACCAAACAGAAACTGAATACTAAGAGTTCTACGGAAGCTGAATTGGTTGGTGTGGATGATTCCTTGCCGTACAACCTTTGGTGCTATTACTTCTTGCAATGGCAGGGATACATGGCCGAGGGCTGTTTGCCTGKAACAGGGCACAATTACGGAAAACACAACAAACGGCTTGGGGAAGGGAGCAACATCCTTCATCAGGACAACACCAGTGCAATCAAGCTAGAAAAGAATGGAAAAGCATCCAGCACCAGACGGACGAGGCACATCAACATACGGTACTTTCTCGTGACAGACAGGATTAAGAAGGGAGAAATTACAGTTGAGTATTGCCCAACCGGAGACATGGTTGCGGATTTCTTCACTAAACCATTGCAGGGATCCCTATTCAGGAGGCTCCGAAACACCATTATGGGTGTAACTGATGCAGATTACATCAGCTATAAAACAGCATACTATGCTATAAAGAACAAAGCACAAATGAATGCTCGCATCACGCCTATTATGTGAGAAAACCGATGAACGAGCAAAATTCCCCTCATCTAGCAATGCTAAATAAGGGATGCACGTACCCCGCAGGAGTGTGTTGAAATACGGCGTGCTGGAGTACCAGAATCCAAGGATTGGTGCGGCACATCCGATGACCATCCAATCCTGCAATATATAATTATGACCATAC